ACAGGCTCCCCCTTATTCCTGTAAATTACTAGTTCCCACAAAAGGGAAAGAAATTATTGAAAATGAGAAAAGTGACAAGTTCCCAAAGAAGGTTTATACCTTCGACGTAACGAAATGTGATGAAATTTTTGATTTGCTTGTCAAAGATGGCCAACTAATAGTGCCATCAAATGTCAAATTGCCACCTTTAGATCAAAGAAAGAAAAGAGGATTTTGTAAGTATCACAGTTTCTTAGGCCACAAAACCTCACAATGTTTTCTTTTCAGGGATCTGATTCAGAATGCAATCAAGGATGGTAGACTAAGGTTCGCTGACAAGCCAAAGATGAAGGTGGATGATAACCCTTTAGATGTTGCTGACACCAACTACTCTAAACCTGCATACATTGGAGAGATAAACATGGTTGGAGTAGGTGAAGGTGACGCTCCATCAGATAAGGAAAACACCGAAGATGAGAACTACGTGTTAGTGAAGGTCGAAAAGGAAGTTATTGAGGACTTCCATAAGGAACAAGAGGCTTCGATCGAAGCAGTTCCTTTGATTGCTTCGAAAGAGATCCAGGCTACTGAAGGCCAGGAAAACCAGAAACAAAATTTGACACAGGCTACTGAAGGCTTGAGGCAAAAGTTGGAGAAAGTACAGATCACAGTGCCAGTTCTTCCTCAGAAGGAAATATGGGATACTTTGGGGGAACCCAGCGGAAAGTTCGATTACATGGTGAGGTATTCCTCCCCAGAAAGCTCAAAGACCCGAATTGAAGACATCAAACCTACAGGTTGGGGAGATACTGATATCAAGGGAGAAGATGTGGATGTTAACATGGTAAACATGGAGCAACCTTATTCTGAAATGGAAGAAATGGAAAGGTACTTAGAGAAAGAAAAATACAAGATGGAAGACAGGTATGCTAGAGATGCTAGTCTCAAAGATTACCTTATGTTGTGCCACAAAGAGAATGCTGCAATGATGTTGTGTCCCAGATGTAGCATCATTTGTAATCAGAGAATTGTTGCAGACTTTGAAAAAAGACAAAGGACACGAACAGGCGTTAACTGGCGCCAGGATAATCAGCTGTTCAGATGCTACCCTAAGGCTGGAGAAAGCCTTATGGGGTTTTTAGTTCGTTGTCACAAGGGGGCAACCAAATACTTAGTGTGTCCAAGATATTCTGCAGTATATGATCAGAAAGTGGCTGAAACCTTCGAAACAACCCCTTTCGCCCCATGTTGGAACCACAGAGAAATTGGTCAAATGGGCCAATGTTTCGAGAACAACTACACCCAACGGAGGCCTGACAGCCCTTATCCTAGAGGCGCTCGAAGGGTAACATTTAAAGTTCCTGCTGATGCACCAACGGACAAGTGGCTACAAGTTAGAACTGACAACAGGAGAGACAAGTGGAGGAATAATGAAAGGAACACACGCCATGCCATGACGTACAAAAGGAAGTTCAATATGGCAAAAAGAGAAGAAGTAAGGTTGGAAAACTACAAGGGAAAGAACCCTATGTCCAGGTCACAATGGCGAAGGCAACAAAGAGTTCGAAAAGCTGAGAGAGATGATGCGCTAAACAAAGGAGTGGCTTCGAGCAAAGACAAAGAGGAATCAAGCACCAACAAACCTGCACCAAACAATCAACCTGGGGATCATCCTCCGGTTAGCAGGAGACTTTTCTTTGAAACAAAGCAAAATGAATCAAAGGAATATACGCCAGGACCAGAGGAGAATGAGGATATGCTGACTGACAATTTCGAATCAAAAGGGGAATCTTCACTCAACATCAACTGCAATGTGGTATCTGTGTTGCCTTGCGAATTTGGGCAAGAGACTGAAATCGAAGAACACGAAGAGGATGATGCAATAGACCTGACGAAACACAGGCCAGTATGCTATTATGTGATGGATAATGGGGCTGTCAAAGAGAAAAATGCCTTCTTCGAATACCCAGAACCAGCCATGCAGAATCACCTAAAGCCATTGTTTATTCGAGCAAAAGTAGGTATACATGGCGTAAACAAAGTCCTGGTGGATGGAGGCGCTGCAGTGAACCTGATGCCTCATTTCATGTTGAAGAAGTTAGGGATACAAGATGTTGACATAAAACCACACAATATGGTACTGTCAAATTATGAAGGTAAAGTAGGCCACACATTGGGGGTGATCAAGTGGATCTGACAGTAGGATCAAGCTGCAGACCCACTATGTTCATGGGGATCGAAGCTAAAGCCAACTACAATTTTCTGTTGGGCAGAGAATGGATCCATGGCGTTGGAGAAGTCCCCTCATCAATGCATCAGAGGTTAGTATTATGGAGAGAAGATGGCATTGTTGAGAATATAGAAGCTGACCAAAGCTACTTCATGACAGCAGTCAACTTAGTTGATAAGAGAAATTATGACAAACACTTGGCCAAAATTGCTCCTTGTACCCCTAACGACGAGATCAATGAGACCAGGAATGTGCATTATTACATGACCCTTTGCCATGATGGAATGTATTGGGATCGAAGGATAATCAAGGGAGATGGAGAAGTCGAAGGCACTGCACAAAGACGGCCAGCAGGCTGGGAATTCGATAATCCTGCCCATGACTGAGTCTTCTTTCTTCGAAAAGATTTCGACCTACATGGCTGAGAACGAATGGAAGGCGGCCTTAGAAGCTGAAATGGATAGTATGGCTGCAGAAGTAAACAAAAGAGATGGGGAGGGCTCAAAAGGCTCACCCTTAGAAGAATAAAAAATAGTTGATATAGATCAAAGGCTAGATGTCATTTATGATAAAGAACCTTTAGGCTTCGAAAGGGATCCCACAGACTCAGGTGCTAAAATGTTAGCGCAGGATCCGTTAGAAGAGGTGAACTTGGGAGATGAAAACACAAAAAGAATAACTTACGTGAGCGCAAAGCTCAATTCAAGCCTCAAGCAGAAAGTGATCGAAGTCCTTAGGAAGAACAAAGATTGTTTCACGTGGGATTATGATGAAATGCCTGGTTTGAAGAGGGAGTTAGTGGAACACAGACTTCCAATCAAGGATGGCAAGAAGCCCATCAAGCAGACCCCTAGAAGGTTCGCACCAGCAGTTCTCACGAAGATCAAGGCTGAAATTGAAAGGTTGTTGCGTTGAAAATTCATCAGGACCACAAGGTATGTCGAATGGTTAGCAAATATAGTACTTGTTATTAAGAAGAATGGCTCTCCCAAAATTTGCATAGATTTTAGAGATTTAAATACTGCTACCCCCAAAGATGAGTATTTCATGCCTGTGGCAGAAATGTTAATAGATTCGGCTGCAGGATTTGAGTATTTAAGTATGTTAGATGGATACTCTAGGTATAACCAGATCTTTATTGCTGAGGAAGATGTTGCTAAGACAGCATTTTGTTGCCCAGGAGCCTTAGGCACCTACGAATGGGTAGTAATGCCTTTTGGCTTAAAAAATGCTGGAGCAACTTATCAAAGGGCAATGAATTCGATTTTTCATGATTTCATTGAGACTTTTATGCAGGTGTACATTAATGATATAGTCATCAAGTCAGTATCTGCAGAAACTCATTTGCATCATTTGAGCCAATCATTCGAAAGAATGAGAAAACATGGCTTGAAAATGAATCCCCTTAAGTGTGCGTTTTTCGTGCAGGCTGGAGATTTTCTTGGTTTTGTGGTTCATAAGAAAGGCATTGAAATCAACCAAAACAAGACCAAAGCCATTGTTGAAACGAAAGCACCTACATCAAAAAATGAGTTGCAGTCTTTGCTAGGCAAAATAAACTTTTTAAGAAGGTTCATTTCGAATTTAAGTGGAAGAACCCAGGCTTTCTCTCTGTTGCTTCATTTGAAGCAAGGACAAGCTTTTGAATGGAACGAAGCACATCAGGAGGCATTTGACAATATAAAAAGATATCTTACTCAGCCTCCTATTTTGTCTCCACCTTCGTGGGGAAAACCCATGAGATTGTACATATCCACCACTGAATTTACTATAGGTAGTATGTTAGCACAAGAAGATAGCAATGGCATCGAAAGAGCCATGTACTATTTAAGTAGGGTGTTGAATGATGCAGAAACCAGATATAGCAACATAGAAAAGCTATGTCTCTGTTTATATTTCTCTTGTATGAAACTTAAATATTATATAAAGCCTGTTGATGTTTATGTTTCATCTCATTTCGATGTTATCAAGCACATGCTTTCGAAACCAATAATGCATAGCAGAATTGGTAAATGGGCTTTGGCCTTGACAGAGTATTCTTTGACTTTCATGCCTTTAAGAGCTGTGAAAGGTCAAATAATTTCTGATTTCATTATTGATCATTCACTGAGCGAAGATACTGTCATGGGTTACGTTGAAATGCAACCTTGGAAATTGTACTTTGATGGTTCGACCCATAGAGATGGTAGTGGTGTTGGAGTTTTTATAATTTCTCCTGAAGGAATTCCAACAAAATTCAAGTATAAGTTAGACGGTCCTCGTTGCTCGAACAACGAAGCTGAGTACGAAACACTTATCATTGGTCTTGAAGCTTTGTTGGAATTGGGGGCAACTAGAGTCGAAATTAGAGGAGATTCGGAGCTAGTGGTCAAGCAAATAACAAAGGAATACAAATGCATAAAAGACAATTTGATTACATATTTCATCATAGCTAATAGGCTACTCAAAAAATTCGAATATATGGATATTAAACATATTCCAAGAATAGAAAACCAAGAGGCAAATGACCTAGCACAGTTGGCTTCAGGATATAAAGTTTCCACCAAAAAATTAGAAGATTTGGTTGAATTGAGAGGAAGAGTTATGGCTACTAGACTCATACCATCAGATTTAGAGAATGTAAAATTAGGTTGTGCTGACAAACAGAAATTCGGAGTATTTGCCATAGACACCTTGACAGATGCAGATTGGTGAAGTCCAATAGTGAGTTATTTAAAAAACCCAACATTGAATGTTGATAGGAAGATAAAATATAGAGCATTATCATACGTCCTCATGGGAAATGAATTGTTCAAGAAGACCCAGAAAGGCGTATTACTGAAGTGCCTAGGAGAAGATGAGGCATACTTAGCATTATCAGAGGTTCACAATGGGGCATGTGGGGCACATCAAGCAGGCCATAAAATGAAATGGCTGTTATTCCGATATGGCATGTACTGGCCCAGCATGCTCAAAGACTGTATAAATTTTGCTAAAGGGTGTGAAGAATGCCAGAAACATGCAGGAATTCAACATGCTCCTGCAAGTGAGTTACATTCGATCATTAAACCATGGCCCTTTAGAGGATGGGCATTAGATTTAATAGGAGAGATCAATCCTGCTTCGTCTAAAGGACAGAAATATATCTTAGTGGAAATTGATTATTTCAGCAAATGGATCGAAGCAATACCATTAATAGTTGTTGATCAAGAGGCCATTATTGGGTTCATACAGAAACAGATAATTTATAGGTTCAGATTACCAGAGAGTATAACCACAGACCAAGGTTTTGTCTTTACTGGTAGAAAGATGCAGTAATTTGCTCAGGAGATGGGTTTCAAGTTATTAACATCAACGTCATATTACGCTCAAGCAAATGGTCAGGTCGAAGCAGCAAACAAAGTGATAATAGGGTTAATCAAAAGACATGTGGGTAAGAAGCCCAAAAATTGGCATAAGACTTTGGACCAAATACTCTGGACTTGTAGAACATCTCCTAAAGAGGCTACTAACACCACGCCTTTCCAACTAACATTTGGCCATGATTTTGTTTTACCAGTGGAAATTCATCTGCAGTCAGTTCGAATTCAAAGGCAAAGTGAGATCCCATCTGCATTATATTGGGAGATGATGATGAATGAGTTAGTTGAGTTAGACGAAGTTAGATTGCATGCATTGGAAATCCTGATGAGGCAAAAGGAAAGGGTAGCCAGGGCATATAACAAAAGGGTGAAAGGTAAAACATTCACTGTTAATGACTTAGTTTGGAAAGTCATATTGCCCATGGACAAGAAGAATAAAGCTTAGGTAAACGGTCACCTCATTGGGAAGGACCCTTTCGAATACTAAAGAGTTTCTCAAACAATGCGTACGAAATCGAAGAGTTAACTGATGACAAACGAATCTTAAAGGTTAACGGAAAGTATTTGAAAAAATATAGACCTCGCCTGCAAGAGATTCGAATAATAGCAACATAGTCGAAATATAACAAGGAGGTGCCAAAATGGTGTCATATATTGCCAAAATGGCATTGTTTAAATATTACAAAACCAAGTGTAAATCAATTCAAATAAGCAAATGTTCAAAAATAAACATTGTTTCTCAGTCTTGCGAAGGTGCTTTTGAAAGACTCAAGCCTTTGTTGGGTGTAACGTCTCGCTCCTTCCAGAGTATTCACTTCCCCTTTGATGCGCTCTGCTACTTCTGTTTCAAAAAGGCCCCTGTTAAGAAGTTCTTCGAATTGGTTACTAACGCTGCCAGTTTCGTAAGCCAATTGCTGTTGTTGAGCTTCTTTGATCTTTTGCTGGAGCTCTTGAATTTGTCCTTCCCAGAAGAGAATAGAGCGCGCTCGAACTTCATAATCAGCCTTCGCTTGTTTTAAACGCGTCGCTTGATCTTCAGCCTCTGTAGAAAGTTTCGAAGCGCGCTCATAAGCATCATCCATGGCATTCCGTTTCTCCTGAACTTTAGCAGCAGCCAATTCATCTTGTAAGAGACATCCAGTTACATCGTCCAATAAAACTTGGAGATCGAACAGAATAGTGCTGATTGGCAAGGAGCAAGTTGTAGAATTAACCTGAGTAAGAAGTTCCTTCATGGTATAGCAAGCGGTGCTATCCTTTTTAAGAACTTCGAACAGGTCTACATCAAGGATTGTTTTCCTGACTTGGTTAAGAAGTTCAGCTCTAGCATCTGGGGACCTTGTGTTGCTAGTTGAACTTGTGCCAACCCTAGTGCGAGGAACGTCCTTCTGAGCCAGTTTAATTTTCATGTACCCAATTGGGTCATTGAGCTTTAGGAGAGCTAGTTCCTCTTCAGTCAGTCGAGGCTGGGAAGTTGGGGAAAGTTCCTTGTTTAAAGGAGTCGCGTCCATTTCGACCTCCATAGTTTCTTTAGTCTTACCCCCATCATCTTCATCCTTGCCTTGCTCCTCGCTTTCTCCTTCGTCACACGGATCTACCACATCGACGGTATTGGTCTCGCTGCTAATAGCATCAGATTTCGTTCCACCAGCTGAACCACTTTGGGTTTCGTCTCCACCAGAACTTTCTTCTGCAGTTTCTTCACTCTCTTGAGAAGAATCAGTCTTGTCCTTTTTAGCTTCAGTGATTGTTGGAGTCTCTTGAAGGGTTTCAAGAGGAGATTTCAGAAGGGAAGTTTCTGGTGGATTTTCTTTGGACTTGTGGGATGACCCTTCGTTTGCTTCCTTCAAAGGAGGCGAGGTGCCTTGGTCATCATGTGCCTCTGAAGTTCCAGTCAGGACCGCCATGTTGGAGGATCCTTTGTTTTGCACATAATTGTTGGAGTCCCTATGAATAGAGGAAGTGATTGGAGCATGAATCCCGGTTGGAGGATTTGAAGCAGTGGGGTTTGCATTCGAAGTGTCCTGCATAAACAAAATTAATTAAGAGTATGCACTAAGGTATGAATAACTATCTTTGTTATGAATTCGAGTTTAATTACCTGTGGGTTATCGGAAGGAATGTTGATGTCAATATGTTCCAACGTTACATTGGAGGTCGAAGGTGGAATTTTGGATGTTGTTGAGGGAGCAACGTCTTTGGGATCAAGCCCAAGAACGTTAGTAGGCTCATCGCCTTTGGAGCTTTCTTTCTTCTTCTTCTTCTTAGAAGCTGTTGGAGAGTTTTCACCAGTTTTTGGGTCCTTGTAAGTAGGGCCTTGTTTCCGTTTCTTGGGAGTTGTTGGTGGAAGTTTGCTAGTCTGAAAAGGGTTAGACAAAAGTTAGATCTAATTCATAAACTTCAGTTTACTCGAAACAACAGGGTTAGTTGATTACCTTTGGAATGGAGAGTTCTGCTGCAGCCGGTGTTGTTGTTGTAGTAGTTATTGTTGTTGTTGGTATTGTTGGAGTTGCATCATCACTAACTTCGATAGCTTGTTGAGAAGTGTTCCCTTCCTTAGGTTTTGAAGTAACATTCTTTATCCTAATAGCTAAAAAGTGAAACAATTGAGGTAAAGTGTTAAGGATAAGGAAATTAGAATACAATTGGAATTTTCCCAAGCATTCGCACCTATGCCTTGATTAGATGTAATCGAAATGGCAGGAAGGTCATAGCGAAGATGTCCTGGGAAATTATGAAGCCAGTAACGAGCCCATGTCACAGTCTCAGATGGCTTTGGTTTCTTTTGAGGCTGGTATTTGAACATTTCTTTGCAAGTGAACCACCAAAGGTATGGAGGAAACCAAGCCAGAGCCAGTTCTGAGGTAGGCAACCTAGGAAATTTAGGTGGGTGCATTTCGAGTGTCAACCTATACCTATCCTCAGGTGACAACCCTGAAGGAAGTTTGAGCTTAGAAATTTTTTCTTTAAATTCTTCCTTCAAGGTCTCGGTCGCTTGATGTATAGTGGTTTCCAAGTGTGTGGGATCATAAGTGATTTCGAAATGATTTTGAAAAGCCCTAATTTCTTTGACGTGAGTGAACATACCTTTCTTGGAGTATACCTGCACATTGAACGCGTCAGTTAGCTTTTGTTGAATGGTGAGTGTGTCAAACATATAGGTCTTGTAGAACTTAGTCCACCATTCAAGAAATCCTTTTGCTGTGAAGTATGTTGGCTCGAAAGGTAAAAGCTCGAACTGAGCGAAATCTTGGTATTGTTCCTGTTGCAACTTGGCCTCTCTTGCTTTGAATGTTTTGCCTGAGGTGATGGCACTTTGTGTTTGGAACAAAGGTTCAGGGATTAATTGGCACAGGCCAAATTGTCTAGAAACAAAATTGGGTTGATAAGCTAAGAGGAAAATCTGATTCTTGTTTGGGGTGATTCTTGAGGAGATTAACCTAGGAAGAAGAAATGCTTTCCAGATATTTTGCATCTCTTTGCTCTTGGCAGCTTCTGAGAGAGGCATTGTGAACCATGAAGGTCCACAAGTCCTTTGAGCAAAAGGTGCCATGGACTCTTCAAACTTATGTCTTTTGGAGAAGATCATGATGTATTTAGAAAATTGGATTTTGAAATCATCCTTGTCATCATTCGGGATGAGCTTTCGAAGTCTCGTGCCTTCGATGATCCTGTCAGCTATTTCTGGATCTTGTTCAATGATGGTATCAGCGGTTGATAAAGAAGATTCGAACATGGCATTAAGCCATAGTTGAAGCAACCAAAAGGGTCCAGCTAGAAGAATGTTTTTTGGAGTATGGGATTTTAAACTAGAAACTGCTGACCTTAAACTCTCATAAAGGTCAACAAGTAACAGTTCACTCAGACAGACTTTCCTATTTTCATGGAAATCCCTGGCTAGGGGAATGAACCTACTTGCTACTTGCAAAGATCTACTACAAAACACATATTGTGATAGCCACGGGGTGAGGAAAGCGATATGTTCTACATCTGAGACCTCATCCCCCTCAGTGTGATAATGGCTGATAAATTTTGAGAAGCTGGCTAGTTTGACATCGAAATCAATAATGCTGGAATGTTCTTCGTTGTCAGGAATGTAAATTTCCCCCACTGGTGAGAGACCAGTGATGGCAGCTATATCAAAAAATGTGGGTGTTATCATTCCGCCTGGAAGATGGAAAGTGTTGTAAGTACTATCCCAGAAGTACAATGAAGCGAATAGCAATGGGTGATTGTAGGTAAAGCCTGGTTTCGACAGTTTGATTAAGTTATAAATCCCTAATTTTTCCCATTGTTGAGATTTTTTGGATTCCACCTTGGTGAACCAGTTTTGGTATGCTATGTCTGAAGTGGGGCAGGATCGAAAGGGTTTGAAATTACTTTTGATATAATCTAAGATAAAAGGGTCTTTTAGAGGTAAGGCCGGAGTTTCAGTTGTTTTCGAATCAGATGATTCGCTTAGGTCTTCAGTCCCTGCCCTAGGGGCATCCATTTTGTTGAATAGGGGTTTGAATTTATAGCAAACAGGGAAAATTTTCCTAGTATCTTTCAGAATTTCAAAAACCGTTAAAGGACCCATTAGGGCAAACCTTTTTCCAGCAACAGTGGTAGGGATTAATACCTGAGAGGCGTACAACATTTCTTTCTCCTTGGAGATCATTTGAGGATTGAGTACAGATTGATTCTGATAAATACTCACTTTGCTCTCCATGATGGTTTCCGTGTTGGTTTTCTTGTTCTTCTTCTTTGATAATTTCTTCAGTTGTGATGATGTTGATGAAGACATTGTTAAGATTGCTGGAAGTTTTTGGGTTTAGCAAAGAGGAGGAAGATTTCAGAAATTTTGGAGAAAAAGAAGAAAAGACTAAACTGATAGGTTTTATAGAGTGAGTGTAAGCACCCACTAAAAGGACTAGGAGTACGTGGAAGTTGTTGATTGGATTCAGAGGGAGGTGGCGTAAGATCCAGTGTTGATAATAAGTGTGTTTAATAATAATCATTATTTTTAAACCGCACCATGCTGTGGTAACTGGTCCAAAACGGTTGAGTACTCAAGAAGGCGTCTTGATTGACGTGGGTAAAATCATGTGCAGTAAGTGTCATGATTCTTCAAAAGGGGTTATCAAAATCTTGTGAATCTATTTAAAATAAGTACTTCTCAAAGGGTTCGAAATACATATTTTAAAGGGGCATTTTGTTGGCTGAAGATTTTGATACTGTGATTCGAAATGAAATTACTATGGTTGAGTTTTGTTTGGATAAAGCAGATTTGATGATTCGGAATGGAAGAGAATGCTTGTTTCGAATGAAAATATTAGAGTTCAAGGTTTCGAATGATAAGTTGTGGAGTGTGAGTCCAAAGCCTTGTTTGAAATAATCATAAGAGGATATTTGTGAAGGTCATTTTTGGAAATAACCTATGAACAAACTCGAAACGAAAAGTTCCAAAACATTTGAAATTCAAACGTAAGCGGGATATTGGAAATTCAAATACACAAGCGTAAGAGTGTTCGAAGACGCGTGGAGGCTAGAGGGAAGCAATGTTCTGCATGCTTCGAACGTGGCAGATTCTGATAGCAAGACCGTTATGGTCGAATAGTATAAATAGAAGTCTTATTGTTAGGATTTAGGGGTGATATCTGTTGTACAAATTCAATAAACATTCAAAATACCGCATGGATAGGGAAACGAATGCTCGAAAGATGTACGTATGATAACACCAGCATTTACAATTCAATGAAAACTCTTTACATTTTCCAATTTTATCTTTCACTTCCGTTTCATTTCTGTTTCAAGCAACCTTATGTTTATGCCTTTACATTAAAGCCTTTGTACTCGAAGTCATTTATTCCCTTCTGCATTTAAATACTGTTCTTATGGTCAAAACCTCTAAACATTTAGTAACTTTTACATCCACTCATTTAATCCTGCCATTTATCCAATTTCAAGTCTTTAAACTTTTCTCATGAATATTCCTAATACCATATAGAAGTTATCCTTCGAACCATTCAGTGTAGTAATCGAAGCGGATTAGATATCTTTGGAACAACTCTAATTCGAAATCCTAAATACAAATGTCAGTTTTACAATTAGACTTAGCCAAACAACTATGTTCCATAGGATCAATCTAGTCGATCCTGTAAGTTACCAGAGAGATTGAATAACAGTAATTAAGTTTATTTGATAGTTTGGAAGACTAGCGGTTGTTCACCAGAAATCACTGTGAACACCTCCTCACTTTCCTCTTGGTGTTGGTTGGAGTTTCTAATTTCAGCAAGGAGTTCTAAGCGGAGGTCTTAGATGTGAGTATTAATACGATTTTCCATGGAGTACGTGGAGTGGTAAAAGAAATCATTGGTATACCCATCTTCCGGAATCGGAGCCGGAATCAGGAGGTGTAAGCAACACATAAAAATCATCATCATCAGAATTCCTAGCCTTATCAACATCATTTTCATGTGGTAAGATAGTTGTCCAATCCAAATCAATAGACTCATCACTAATGACATACTCGGTATCGCTTAAACTACCTAACTCAAGATGTGCGAAAAATGCAGAGAATTTGCAAAAAATGGAAGAAAAATTGGTTTCCTTTTTTATTTTAAAGGTTAAAAGTGCATAATGATCCATTCATTCAAGATGTGGAGGTGGAGGTGGAGGGTATAGCCATATAGGAATGGGAATTGGATGCCAAGGAAATTGCTCCCATCAAGGATTAGGTGGAAAAACAGAGCTGACATTTCTTTTCTTTTTTGATGGAAAAGAAATTTCATTAAAAAGATGAAGGCAGATAAACAGAATTTGGAGTGGACTAATAGGGACAAGCCCCCAACCACGTCTTATCCCTTTTAGAATGACCAAGTCTTACGAGATTGTGGGAAATAACATTCAAATTCTTAGGAATAAACATAACAGAAGCCAGTTTAAAACCACTCAAAAGAAACCTACAATCCACAGCAATCGGGGTTAATACTGCAATATCTAAGCAAGAGTTGATGCAGTCCACCGCGAGTGTAGAATCAGATTGAATGACAATATTCTCAATGTTTATACTCTTGGCCAGCTGTAGCCACCACCTGATCGCAAGCATCTCTGCAAGTGACGACTCTGTGATCATCATTTCCACCTTACATGCCGACAGAACAATCTTCTTCTCCTCACTTCTGATAACGCAACCATAGGAAATGGTACCATTCTCAAAAAAACCTGCATCAACTTGAATAGTGTGTGTCCCATTCCATCTTCAGCCTCACACACATGAATGTGATTTTTGATGCAAATAGACGGATTCCACCTGTTAAATTTCACCAGTGAGTCCAAAGCCAACTTTGCCACTAGAATCGAAGAATGCTCTTTCGACTGAAACACCAGTAAATTCCTAGCGATCCAAATGTTGTAGACTAAGGAACTAACCACTTGGACGGCCCACTTATCTTTCCCCGACAGAACAAATTCCAACCAGGAGCACAAATCAATGTTGCGCTACAAATGAAGACCAAGGGTGGAAGAAAAGTATGTTTGTCTAGCAAAGTCACAGCTAATTAGAAGATGGTCTACAGTCTCCACATTATCATGGAAAAAAGGGCATGACGGGTCTAAATGCATACCTTTTTTCATTAAGTTTCCTCTTGTTGGAAGGATGTTTTTAGCTGCTCTCCATATAAAGTTCCTCACCATGTTGCTTAGGGGAACTTTCCAAATAAGCTTCCACAAATTATGATTCAGAACATGGGAGGGACCCTATTAAAGACTAGCCTTTTCATTCATACACAAATGGTAGGCTGACCTGACAAAATAAACACCATTTTTCTCAAAATTCCATATCAATTCATCCTCTATATTATGAATAAAAAGAGGAATGTTGATGATAGACGAAGCCTAACAATGACCAAAACTCGAAACTATTAAATCCTTCTTCCAGTATCCTAAATCATGGTCTATCAAATCATAAACCTTTGTATCAAAATCAAAGTTGCCACCATGCACAAGGACCTTAAACCCTGGATTACACGGGATCCATTTGTCCTTAAGGACCATAACTTTCGCTATGTTTCCAATTCTCCATCGAGAACCCAGCTGAACCAAATGTTTGGCACTTAAAATTCTTCTCCATGCAAAGCTTGGAGTATAACTTGGCTTTCAATTTTCGATGTCACACCGAGGATAGTATCTACCTTTCAACACTCTCTCCGCGAGCGATCCTTCCTTGGATAACAACCTCAAATATTTCTTTCCCAGTAAGATGGTATTGAATTCACTAATTCCGCAAAAACCCATGCCTTCGTCACCCTTTGATCTTGCCAACCTATCCCACCTTATCCAGGGAAGTTTCCTCTCGCCATTTCTCACACCCCACCAGAACTTGGCTATAAGGCTTTCAATCTCATGACAAATAGCTTCCGGTAACTTATAGCAACTCATAATATAGCTGGGAATAGCCTGAGCCACCGCCTAATTAATACTTCCTTACTAGCACGAGATAGGAACCTCTCCTTCCAACCCTTGATCTTTTTCCAGACCCGTTCCACAACCAACACAAAAACTTCCTTTTTGGATCTCTCGAAGACCACTGGTAATCATGGATACTTCGAAGGGAGTTCCATTGTCTTAATACCCATCCTGGACCAGATCAACATTATATCATCTTCATGCACATTTCGACTAAATGATGCCTCAGACTTATCTAGATTTACCAGTTGCCCAGAGCTACGTTGATACTTCTCCAGAATATCCAAAACACACAATGCTTCAGTGGTATTTGCCCGAGAAAATAGGAGGGAATCATCAGCAACGAGAAGATGAGAAATGATGGGAGCCTTATGAGCAATCTTCAAACCATGAATTCTCCCCTCCATCACCACTCGCTTAATGATACCCGAAATAACATATGCACACAAAACAAACAAGTAAGGTGAGAGAGGGTATCCTTGTCAAAAACCCCTAGTTGGTAAAAACTTCTTGCACGACTGCCCATTTAGAAGCACATTGTATGAGACTAAAGATATACATCTTCAAGCGATGTTGATGAATTGGGAAGGAAAGCCCATCGAAGATAACACTTGAATCACAAACTTCCACTACAATCTATCGTATGTCTTTGACATATCAAGCTTGAGAGCCATGTGAGCATGTTTCCCTTTTAATTTCTTCTTGAGCTAATGGAAACATTCCATAGCTACCAACGCATTATCTGTGATCAAAGGACCCTAAATAAAGGCACTTTGCTCCTCATCTACAATTTCAAGAAGAATCCTCTAGAGCTGATTAGCTATAGTCTTTGTCACTAATTTCATCACCATGTTGCACAAGTTAATTGTCCTCAAATCCTTCCGAGAAGAAGGATTCTTACCCTTTGAAATAATCACTATATGAGTGGAATTGATTATACTAGTATCTCTGCCTCTATTCAACACTTCCATAACTAAATTACACACATCCAGACCAACAACCTCCCAGTACTTCTGATAAAAAAAGCTGGTAAGCCGTCTGGGCCTGGAGATTTCAAAGGGTGCATTTGTAAGAGAGTATTTTGCTTCCTGATTCGTGAATAGGTCCTCACACCACCTAACATGATCAGGTTTTAATCTTCCGTTAACCACACTACACACCTCTTCAATAGAACTTGGATTCGAAGAAATAAAAAGGTTTTCAAAATAGTTTGACAGTAACCTCTCACAATGCTCATCACCTCTCCACCATTGGCCATTATCATCTTTCAGCTTTGTGATATAGCTTGTCTTTCTTCTCTGCTCAGCCTTTCTGTGAAAAAATTAGTTATTTTTATCTCCATGTTGCAGCCAGACAGCTCTACTTCTTGGTCTCCACATCACTTCCTGTATCTGCAGTAAATTATTTCGTTGATCCTCCAAAGCCTTATGAAGATTAATGGAATCCTCGTTGGAGTCCCATATGCTATCTTCATCCAGTAAGCTCTCAATCCTCTTAAGCTCTTTTCTCACTGCACCAAATCTTTACTCCCTGAAATGGTCACTTAACGCTTGCAACTCTTTTAGTTTCCCCACGGTTTGTGAGGTACTTCTGCTCCAAATTTGCTTCACTATTTCTTCACACTTTGGATCTCTACTCCATCCTTCTTCAAATTTAAATTGAAATTTTCTCCTCTCTTTATCAATTGTGCCAACCTTAAGATCTACTCTAATCACCGCATGATCTGAACCGTATATAGGAAGATGGATAACTTTATTTGGAGAAAACTTGTTCAGAAATTCATTAGAAATAAACACACGATCCCGCCGACACTGAATGTTCTCCCCCCTCTTCTACCATTTTTCCATGTAAACGAGTATCCTTCGTACCTAAGATGAGAAATCCCACAAGAATCCAGCGCTTGCTTACTCCAGGATAGTTGATTAGAGGAGCGAATATTCCACCCTTTTTCTCGCCTTCCGATAAAATATCATTGAAGTCACCAAAACTGATGGATTTAATGCCTCTGTTTCGAACCAGATTCTGAAGAAGAAACCAAGTATGCTTCTTAAATTGCTCATTTGGATAATCATATATCCCATTAAAGTCCTAACCCTGACTATCTAATTCATCTGCTACATGATCGCTGATATGATTTAGAGAGAAAGAAGTGATGTCAATTTGCAAACTATCCTTCCAAAACAGTAACAAACCACCTGCATGCTCTCTTCCATTCCCAACACAGTCTACACTCAAGCACCCTGCAAATTCCACTCTCATCTTAATCCTCTAGACCTCTTGTTACTTAAGACGCATTTCCATTAAGAACACCATATCGAGATTTTTGTTTCTTAGGAGCCTCAACAAGGCTCGAACTGCACGGGAACTCCCTAACCTCTTGTAGTTCCATCTTAGTATTTTTATTGTTGTAGGCGGTGTTGAGATTCCAACACCACCTCTGATACTTTGATTAAAGTGCTTCCAACCTCCTCTTGCCCTTTCAACTTCTTCTCTCCTTTTCCATAAGCTTCCACGGTGCCATCAAGAATCATAACGTCAACTAAGTTCCTCTTTCCACACTCCACCTCCTTTTCTAATTTATTTTTTGGATATGCATTTCTAGTACTTTGTCTCCTTGTCCATTTCCGTCGTTTGGTTTTGCTTTCAAGTAACGACTCATTTTTCCCTTTACTAACATTTGAAATATCCACCGCTCCTGCCATGGCTTCAATCTCCAACATGGCCTTTCCGGACTTCGGATCCTTATGTTTTTTATTACTCTCCAGCTTTTGTCCTTCTTGTACACAACCCTTACTACCAATTGGTTATTTCCCTTGTCTTGCATCTGCTATGACGGGAAGAAATATTAAATAGGCTTTTGCTGCATGAACTTGAGGTACAGTCTTTCTTCCTCATTTCCTCTTGAACCCTTGGTGAAGGAGAAGCCCTCAGGCAAGTTCCAAATGATAGATCCTGATCTTCAAGGTCTTCAAAGCCCTCTTCACTAAGTTCCCCCAATAACTTCACAATCCTTGAGTTGGTGTCCTAGTTTACCACAAACGAAACAAAAGGTTGGTAATCGTTCGTACTTGAAATGCACTCGCAAGTTTTTTTCTTTGAACCTCACCATTGTTCCCCTTTTAAGAGGCTTCTTCAAATCTATTGTGAATTTAATCCTCAGAAAACGCTCATTCCCGTGTGCTTCCTTCGTATCCAATTCCTCAAACTGCCCAAGTATACCTCCAATCTTCTTCGTCTTTGCTTTGAATCTGAGCATTAAAGGCAGTTCATAGATACGAACCCAAAAAATACCATAGTGCATGTTCAGATCTGAAGGTTGCTCTTCTCCTGAAATCCTACTGAGGATCAAAAGATTTATGTCAAAACTCCACGGTCCATTCTTCAAAACGCTTTCTAGATCTCTCTTTATTGCAAATCGAAAAAGGAAAAGGTTTTTACTGAGCTCTTGCACTTCCATTTGATTTTTGAGCTTCCACGCACCAAGCATTGTGCTCGTGAACGCCCGTGAGTTGAAGCTATTGTTCGTCCATAACCTCCCTGCCAAAGTTCATTGAAAGATTTATCTTTCACACACCTCCTCAATCTTCGTCGTTATCCCCTATTCCTCCTCCTTTAAAAGTTGAATATTTTTCCACTTATCCATAACTCCCAAGCGCTGATTCCTATTGAACGATAAAGACTATCTGAAACCCCAAACAACCTAATGCACCAGAAAATGGATAGATCTACTAGAAGAACTCCAAAACTCGGAGAGCAAAACCACAATGAATGGTGAGTAAACCAGAAAGATACGGGGGTGAGACACGAAAGGTGGAAGAGAAACTCTCAAAATCTAGAGGATAAGAGAGGAATGGACACGATAAGTTTTAGAGAGAAGTAGGAGACTCTCTAGAACATGTGGGAAACCAGAGTCAATTTTACAGAGCAGGTATTTCTTACTTTGGCGTGAAACAAAACTATATTCCATGATTTACTCTCTCTGATTCTTTTTAAGTGTCACTTTTGAAATAATTTTTTTATTTCTTTTTAATTGTCACTTACAAAGTTCAAGGTGATATTAATTGCATTATTGTCAAAATTACCCTTAATCATTTATTGTAGAAAGAGAAAAAGTCAAATGCATGTGACAAATAATTAAAGAAATTATAGGTAAAATGTAATTTATTGTTTATTGGTATGTGGAAAAAATTTAAAAGTGACAATTATAAAGGAACAAATGGAGTATTTGCAACAAATTTCAACATTTTTATTTCATCTTTTGCTTTCTTTTTTGAGCCTTTATGATATTTTCAACCTATAAAATAAATGATTTCATCATGCTTCACTCTTAATTATTATCAAATCAAATACTCACATAACAGGGAAATTGTATTAATCATATGGAACTTTAATCCTTCCAACATATGATTGGTAAATACTTACACTTGAAATTTCATTGAACAAATTTATGTACCTCAGTTACAAGTATAGCTTCCTGATTTCAATTTTTTTGGAAGCCATATCATAGTACTCATGACAATAAATCCTATACTAATTCCTATATAATTTACTATTTACTGATACAGACATGAGGAACAAAAGAAAAACGATAAATAAAGTGTTACTTGACCCTTCGGATATAACGAGGGAAGGAGAGGGAGTTCGTGTTATTGACAAAAATGTGACTAGCCGATTGGCTACCTCAGTGCCTGATCCTTCAAGCAAAGAAATCAATTGAAGAGAAGAAACCTCCAATATAACTCTGCAACTTCCAGAAGAAATCTCTGTTTTATAATCTTGTCAAATAATCCTTTTGATTACCTAGTTGTAATTTTTGCATTTTATCTTAATGTGAATGGTTCTTAGTTTCAATATTTTTTAAATGTAAAGCAACATTCACCTAGTAGTTGCTTATGCAGTCCCTGTAATCAACCGTTCACGTTCGTCTAACTTCTTGATTTTCACAATGCCAAAGAGAATTTGAAAACCAAAGATCGCACAAAAGAAATATGCTATAGTGGCAGGCACCTGAAAGAGATAAAAGATGCAACTAATAAATAAATAAAAAGTACAGCCATATAATCAATTAATTGATATGGTAATCACCACAAGAAAGACAACAGAGATTAGAATAGCATACCCTAATTGAATTGAGAGATAAAATTGTTGCAAGATTTATTAGGCTCCCAGCAGCTACCGCCTGTTAGACAAAATGTCAGTATGAGTATTCAACTATGTATTATCCGAACTGTTTTTCTAGTCCCTATAATATTCATATACCATGGCATACACTTATTAGAAGAGTTGATTATCAACAGCATGCATGTGGTTTACAGTATATGATTGCATGGAATATACTTGTGTCAAGAGTTAATATACACACCCATCATTCACTTATCTCTTGAAAAAGTTATATAAAATTATTCGTATTTGTGTTAAGAAATAGTTCATACTTTTGCAACATGAAAACAAACACAAACATACAAGGCCACTCGCTAATGCCCCAAATTTATTATTTTTTATCAAAAGTTAATAAAAAGAGAACTTCGATAATGTAAAAGCAGGTAAGCTTATATAATGTAAGCATGAAGTAAAAAATGTATCAACTTTCATTTCCGTATTTTCATGAGTTGCTGCCAGTGCAAGCATGGTCACACAACAACCAACAATTACTTGCAGTAGATAGTAAGTTTGAACTTTGAAGGTCATGCATATAAGCAAGAATGACAAACATATATGAACATTTACAGGTTATTAACATATCCAAATCAGATTCCAATAATAAATTAAATTTGCACTTCCACTGTTATTAGACAACTTCACTCACATTCAAAATTGTTTTCTGCATGGTCGCAACACGTTGGAATGCTCTCTCGGATTCCAAAGCTCGGACTCTAAGCTTTAGATCACCTTGCTCCTGTGGAAAATTTAAGTAAAGCAAAACGTGATCTAAAATATTAGAATCCCAAACTAAAGATATGGATCAAATTACTTAAATTAAGTCAACAAAAATATAATACAGACCAATCTCTCGATAACGCTGACGAGCTTTTCAACTCTGTCGGCCTGTCTAAATAAGTTGTAAAATGCTTGAGATTGTCTGTCCCATCTCTTTCTGAAGTCCTGAATATGTAGAAGAATTATGAGAAACAACCATAATGTTAATAGCAACACTTAGACTGATAATCGATGATAGAACAAGTTTAAGACTACCTTTACGATAACTTCAACTCCTGCCTCGCGGAATCTCAGCAACTCCAGGGCATAACTGCAAGACTAGGAGGTAGTTTTGTTAGATATGCAACGCAACACAAATAATTTGAGGGCTTCAACTTTATTTTATCTTAGAACATTGGAGATCTGAAAGGACAAGAAACAGAAGCAAGACAGGAAAACAAAACTACACAAGAGCACTAGCTCCTCTGAACAAAAACGTTCCAAGTACTCCCTCTGTAACAAAATCTAAGCAAAAGAGATCCAAAGAAAACAAATGTATTTAGTCCAAAATATAGACCAAAAACATTTGACCTTTTGAATCCCTTTTACTTGTATTTTTATTACAGAGGAAGTACATCGACTAGAATTGAGATCCTCCAGGAGTCGTGCTGCACACAACCCTTTAAACCGATCTCATATTTCAAACTCGTATTAGACCAGCGGTCGGTGCAAAAATTCCCTTTGCCAAGTGTGGTTGAAAAGAAATAAGAACTTTCAGTGTTTAAAAGTTCAAAATATATATATATATATATATATATATATATATATATATATATATATATATATATATATATATATATATATATATATATAAAGACAACACTCACGGTTTGGCAATCTCGGTAATATCAAAACGGGGGTCAAGTCCTTTTCCAATGCCATCCAAAACTGAAGAAACAAGTACACCTGTTACTTCGCAGTCACGTGTGAGTGCATAGTAAGATATTAAATTCAGCAATATTTACCTGAGAAGGCCCTAACAACAAATGTGAATGTGGCAGGAAACCGGAAGGGCTGGTCTGCTGCAATGGATAATAAATCTTCACCTGTTAAAAGGTGAGATCTATTAGTGAAAAGCCTCTGGATTGCACAATGTTATCGAACTAATAGCATGTTTGTTTTTCTCTAGCTAAGATCCCAAGCCATGTTTGGACAAAGATTACAAGAGGACAGCATTTGCCCAAAGTTTGGGGAATCTTCCCATTGAGGGTAAAGATTCCATGAATAATCCTCACCCCATTTATAATTGAGTTATCATTGATTATTATTTATAACCTACCTGTTTACATATCTACTATAGCATTTGTTACTATCCCTAAGATTGTTCAAGAACCACTATCTTGTTCAATATGGCATTACACAGATGAAATGTTTGCTTTCGAGGAAAATCACAGATGGACTCTTGTTCCCTCGCTGCATTCAAATATACAATTGGTTGCCAATGAATTTTAACTACTAAAGGAAAGTGGATCGAAGGAAATCTCATTTTTTGGAAAAAGGATAAACTAGATTTCATGGCTTGGATCATGAGGATATCTTCTCATTGGTTGCTCAATGGATTTTCTTTGGCTTTCATATATATAGCTACCATGAAACATTGCCATTTACATCATTTGAACAGTAAAAATGTCTTCCCGCAGTGATTTGGAGGAGATTGGGATTTATTGCCCAAGGGGAGTCAAGTCTTTTATGCAAATCATAGAAGTCTTTTCTACAAAAGCTACGCTGTGCTTGATTTGGAATGTTTAGCAAAGTCATTCAATAATTTGGCGTGACTTGTGAAGAAGATTTTTCGGTATTTTTAAGATGCTCACCATTGCAAAAACATATTTGTTTATGTAAATGATATTGTTATTATAGATGATAATAATAAAGAAGGCATCAATGATCTGAAGCTGTATCCATTCGAAGTTCGAACGCAGACAATCACAGGCAAGTGTAGCTATTTCTTAGAGAAAGTATGAACATCATATTCAGGAAGGGACAAAGATGCTAAACTACAAACTGATTGATACTAGTATGGATGTTATTGTAAAGCTTCTACTTAATCAGAAGAGTTGTGTTCAGACCTAGGAACATACCAAAGATGTGGAAAATTAAACAATTTCTTTTGGAAAAGGTAAGGTTGGGCACAGAGGCTAAAAAGCAAGAAGCAAAAAAAAAGCTTTTAGGCTTAGGCTTAACGTCTCAACTCCAAAAACTAATCAAGAGATGAAGATTACCCAAGCCTCATATATACCACTTTGGTTTGGTCATATCTCCAATGTTGAATCTCAAATCGACAATCAGTTTAAACCAATAGCCAGTCGCGCAAAAAGCCAAAAATTATATTCTCCCACAAGAGCTCACGTATTATCATCATCGTGTATACCCAACTGCATAAGCAATAGTCGGAGTATGCATGCATTCCAGTAATCTAAACCTAAAGACACATAATTAAACACGATAAGTTACCAATAGCAGCCAGACGTTCTTTCTTCTTCATTACTTTTTCTTCTTTGCTTAATGGCTTGTTGAATCCAACTTCCGCTGCTTCCAACTCTTTCTCTCTCCTCTGTGCAGCAAGACGTTCTTCAAAACTAAAGAAGAATAAAATTGATGATCTCGGAGTCAAAGATTGAAGTAAACTGCTGAAATAACTAATTGGTAGTTCAGTAGAGAAAGCGATCCTAAACCAAAATATTAACAAGGACATGGCAAGTCATAAACCTTTATGAGGGCTATGGTGGTACTTATACATTACCTGTCATTGAAGCCAACAAGCAGTTTGAACATACAACTAGAGCCAACCCTAGTATCACTATATTCCTCACACGTGACTAATCAGCACATCCAAGTGGTTCAGCATAACCCCCAACTCACGAGCAAAAACTTTTACTTCAAATATTATTTATAGGTTTAAAACAATTTTCTAGTGGTCTTAAGCCTTGCAGGTACTTAAAATCCATCATTAATAACCCATATAGTGATATTCACTTATAGAGAAACTATTTGTACTTTGGATGCATTCCAACTAAATTGATTCAATAAATTACCTAGTGAGGAAGAACTGTGCCGTTCGCCTAACAGCAGTCATATCTCCAGTTGGGACAAGAACACCCATCTGAATCATTGCTTCAAGGACCTGCATAAGTGCATAAGCTTGATTTGGTGATAAATTTAGACTCAATGAAATTTCATGCTAGAGTATTCCTGACAATATGGGACCCCATCCGGAAGAAAAAAAACAATATATTTACCTTATCTGGACTCTTCTCATAAACTCCATAAAAAGCTTCGAGTAAACCTTCTCTGATATTTTGACTGATACTGTAAGATGCAACACAATCACAGTTGCAATGGCAATCATCTCAGTAAGCTAAAATGCTCAACTTCTAAATCTGTATTTCAATTATACAAAAGAGATAAAGAACATACCTTCCCATCATACCAAAATCATAAAAGATCAATCTTCCACCATTGACATCATCGACTGCGATATTTCCAGGATGCTGCATTGACAATGTATATATTATTTACTCACAAGAAGAAGTGTCTAATCCAAATTCCTGAAAGATAGTCATGAAATATGAGAACTCATAAGTCCTTGATATCAACTCCTAGGGAAGCTGAATTCTAGTTCTCCAGAAATTACTCAAGGCAGCAGATGATAATCAATAGGATACAAGCAGCATGCTGCTTGAACCATGAGCAGCAGATGCTTGAACGTTGCAATATAAGAACATGTAAAAGTAATAGTAAACTGTTATTAAACTATTAGGATTGATTAGTGGAAAATTATTATATATTATTAGGGACAATTAAGTTTTATTAATGTTGTGAGTTTAGGTTTAGAATAAATAGGGGAAGACATGGTGGAGTTGATCATCTGGGAGTTAGTGAGTGGTTATTGGGAGAGACCCAACTCTCGAACATTTGGAAAGGGAGAGATCCAGGACTCTCGAATTCTTGGAAGGAACCAAACAGGTCCGTGTCATTCTGTTTATGTGTTATTTCTCTGTACTGAAATTCTGTAATTTTATTTTATAAAGAAACAGTTTGTATCAACCGGTATCAGAGTTGCTTCCTTCCGGGACTGTTTATGGTATCTACGCGAGGGGAAATAGAGGCCAGACTGAAAGTAACTATTAGATATCGGAATATTCCATATTATGTAAATAGAATATTCTGCAAGTAATTAGAATATCATGTAAATAGGAAATAGAATATTATGTAATTATTATAGAATATTATGTAATTACTATGGCATTTATGCCTCCTATTATATATAATGAGCTCCGATGTGTAATTCACACACACGGATGCAATCCAACCTTCCTCTTGTTCTCTCATTATTCAACATGGTATCTAGAGCCTAACAAGAGGCAACACTAATCCGTGCTTTCCCGGTAGATCCACTATCTATCGGCGCCAATTTTTTTTTGATAACCGCGCTTCATCTCCGGTTTCCGATATTCCTTCTCAAATCTTTCATTTTTTTTTTGGTCACTTCTCTCACCGTTTTTGGAATCCATGGCCGACGTTCCCCCTCCAAGGGCTGAGGCCCCTATTTTCACAAGTTATATCACTACTCCTCTTGCCGTTGACAAATTGGACGGTACTAACTATGATTCTTGGGCTTCCGACGTCAAGTTATGGCTCCGGGGACAGGCCTATGAAGATCACCTCACTACGAAGGCTGACTCGGTGCCTGCCACTGATAGTGCTTGTTGGAAGAAAATTGATGCTCAACTCTGCAGTCTCATTAAGTCGACCATTAGTCCATCCTTGAAACAGATCTTTCGTTCTCATGAGACTTGCGAATCTGTTTGGGCACGGGCTAAGATCCTTTATACCAATGATACACAACGCTTATATGGAGTGTGTCAAAATTTGCAGAATATTATTTCCCCTCGTCACCTGGATGGTTCTATGGTTGAATACTTGTGCCATGTTCAAGGTCTTCTTCATGATTTCAATGAATTATTGCCCCCAGCTGCTACCACTGGTAAGGAACTTGAACAACATCGATCCTTCTTCATGCTTCTAGCTCTGTATGGCCTACCTCCAGAGTATCCGTCTGTTGGCGATCAGATATTGGGGTCTCCTACAATCCCCACTCTGGATACTACATGGTCTACTTTGCTGCGTGTCCCAGCAAAACCATCATTTGACGGCGGAGTCCCACCCACACCAGTTGATTCATCTGCTTTGGTTTCTCAAGGAGGTAATCGTGCTCCGGGTGGTGATCGTGGCCACTTTCAAAAGACAGGAAAGCCTTGTCCTAAGTGTGATCATTGGCATAAGCTTGGCCACACTATTGATCGGTGTTATGCTTTACATGGACGTCCCTCTCCTCGGACTGCCCACGTTGCCTAGACCGCTCCACCTCCACAGGCTGCTACTCCGACTGTTAAATTCCAAGCCAGTTGACACTCCGATGGATCCCAATGCTAAACTTATGCCAGCTCAGGGGGAGCCACTCTCCGATCCTGGAAAATATAGAAGATTAGTTGAAAAACTGAATTACCTCACTGTTACTCGCCCAGATATTTCATTTCTTGTTAGTGTGGTAAGTCAATTTCTTAACTCTCCTTGTGAAGGACATTGGGAAGCAGTGATTCGCATCTTGAAATATATTAAAGGAGCTCCAGGAAAAGGCTTACTCTATGAAGACAAGGGACACACTCGAGTTGTAGGATACTCAGATGCAGATTGGGCAGATTCTCCTTCTGATAGAAGATCCACCTCAGGTTATTGTGTTTTCTTGGGTGGTAACTTAATTTCCTGGAAGAGTAAGAAACAAAGTGTAGTGGCAAGGTCAAGTGCGGAAGCAGAATATCGAGTCATGGCAACAACAACCTGTGAGCTTATATGGCTTAAACAATTGCTTCACGACCTGAGATTCGGGGATGTTTCACAGATGACACTTATTTGTGACAATCAGGCAGCTCTGTATATTGCATCAAATCCAGTGTTCCATGAGAGAACTAAACACATTGAGATTGATTGCCATTTCATCAGAGAGAGAAGATTTTATCTAGAGATGTCAGCACTAGTTTTGTCAATTCAAATGATCAGTTAGTTGATGTTTTCACTAAGCCTTTGAGAGGTCCTCGAATTAATTATATTTGTAACAAGCTTGGTGCATATGACATATATGCTCCAGCTTGAGGGGGAGTGTTAGATATCGGAATATTCCATATTATGTAAATAGAATATTTTGTAAGTAATTAGAATATCATGTAAATAGGAAATAGAATATTATGTAATTATTATAGAATATTATGTACTTACTATGGCATTTATGCCTCCTATTATATATAATGAGCTCCGAAGTGTAATTCACACACACGGATTCAATCCAACCTTCCTCTTGTTCTCTCATTATTCAACAGTAACATTTGACCCTTTTGATGAAGTGTTGAAAGAAATTAGATATTGGAGAAGAGAACTCAAAGAGTTATGACTAGAAATTCCAATCTTTGAAGGAAGGGATGTTATTGGATGGATGATCAAGGTTGAAAAATATTTTGATGCGGGAGGTGTATGTAAAGAAGAAGATCAAATACCAAAAATTGCGTAGTGGATGTTAGGAACCCAATTAAAGATAAGAGAAAATTATTATTAATGATAAAAAGAAACTATTACAGAGATGAATCCCTATAATCCCAGAGCAAAGTGCTCCTCAAAGGAGAGATACTCTCACTCTGCCCAACCCAAAAGGTTTCTATCTGAAAATACACATAATGAATTGTCCCTTGCTATTGGTGTTCTTGTATAACTACCCTTCCCCCTTCTGACCAACTTGCCAACTCAGCACTTTCCCTCTCCATTTGGGCCTCTTTCTCTAAATGGGTCCTATTAATGCCACTCTCTTATAATCAACCTTGTCCTCAAGGTTGGAAGTAGTTTTTGTTGCCTTTCTTGCAGCTAGGTGAGACATTAGTGTATTAGAGAACCACATAGTAATGAGCCTGTTTAGGGAGTTAAAAATGAACAGTAACTGCAGCAATATACTTAAGGACCATACATCATTCTCTTTTTGCCAATTATATTTTCTTTCTTGATAGAATTGACCGATGAATTCAGAAAATAACCCCAGCTTATTGACTTGCCATGACCCTCTAGTCGCATTCAGTTTGTGGTATTTAACACCAGTTTGGATTCTCCAAATCTTTCCTCTATCATAAACAAAATTAAGCCTGCTGTAGAAAGTGAGTAAGTTCCTCTAATAGCACTCGCAAACAATTACTACCTTCATAATATTGAACTTCCCTGGTGGCGTTGAGAAAAACACGAGACTTGAATCATCGTCTGGTGGCTTTCTTGGCGGTGGGTGGTCCACAACTCGGGAATAATCCTTCAACCGCTTTTGTCGCACAATGATTTCTCGTTTCTGCAGATTCAGTGGCCGTGAAGAAGTCACAACTTGAGTATCAGCGTCTGAAGGTTTCGCCAGAGGTAGTGGATTGACCCCACCCGCATTGTGACTGTTTCTTCTTGCTTCTGTTCCTTGATCGCTCAACCAAGTTTTTACTTTCACCTTTTCGGCTGTTGCAACCACGACCTTTTCAGATCCAAGTGCAGATGCATTGTGGTGCATCTCTTCTCCATACAAACTGCAACCACGTAACAAGTCCCTGCAGTTTGTTTCTTCTCCACCATCAAAAGTTGCTTCTATCACCTCTAACTTAGATTCCTTTCTTTCCTCAATCTTTGTCTGTGATTCTGTTAGTGTTTCTGGATTTTCCTGCATGGTTTTCCTCACCTGACCCCCAAATCTTCTCATCAAAGCTATGGAAAATGATGTCCAGTCGGCATCAAAGTTGTCTTGACACCAAGACCGGAACCACAACATAGCAACACCCTCCATTCTCATGAATGCCCACTGCACTTTATCAGATGAATGGATTTTTTGCTCCAAAAAGAACCGTTCTGCTTTGATGATCCATCCAAAGGGGTCTTCACCCACAAATTCAGACAGCCCTTCATTCACGAACCAATTACAGGATTCTACCATTACCATCTTTAACACTGGCTCTCCCTCGATAATCTGGTAGTTTCTGGCAGTTTTTGGCAGTTATACGGTAGTTTTCGGCAGTTTCAGACAGTAACACAGCATTAGCAATTCACTAGATCCGTCTCGAGATCCGGCAGGTCGGACCAATCGTTAGGAACCCAATTAAAGATAAGAGAAAATTATTATTAATGATAAAAAGAAACTATTACAGAGATGAATCCCTATAATCCCGGAGCAAAGTGCTCCTCAAAGGAGAGATATTCTCACTCTGCCCAACCCAAAGGGTTTCTATCTGAAAATACACATAATGAACTGTCCCTTGCTATTGGTGTCCTTATAAAACTACCCTCCCCCCTCTGACCAACTTGCCAACTCAGCACTTTCCCTCTCCATTTGGACCTCTTTCTCTAAATGGGTCCTATTAGTGAATGAGTGGTAAAGTCCTCACGTGGTACCAATTATGGATTTCGGTCAATCGAAGTTCCACTTGGGGAAATTTTAAATATGCAATTCTCAAGAAATTTGGATCAGAAACTGATTCAATAGAGGATGAAGAACCAAATGAAAGGCCACCACCAGAATTGTTAGGCCAAAAACCACCATTGTCGAAATCACCCAACATGGCGTTTGTTGCTATTCCTAAGATAAAGTCTAGAAACAAGAAATTTCCACTGCCTATATCGCTGCCACTCCAACCACTGTTCACTAGAGGGCTGCTGGTAGCAAGGCAATTTGATCCAGGAGGAATTTTTTTATATTTCATGTACAACTCAATCCTTCTCTTTCAAGTTATGGGATTCGGGAGGATATATTTTTCCTACGTGTATTTTCTTTCACCTTGAGGACAAGGTGATAGTTTAGGGGGAATATTGTTAGACTCTTCAGTTTTGTAACTCTTATTAAATTATTAGGATTGATTAGTGAAAAATTATTATATATTATTAGGGACAATTAAGTTTTATTAATGCTGTGAGTTTAGATTTAGAATAAATAGGGGAAGACATGGGGGAGTTGATCATCTGAGAATTAGTGAGTGGTTATTGAGAGAGACCCAACTCTCGAACGTTTGGGAAGGGAAAGATCCAAGACTCTCGAATTCTTGGAAGATATCAAATTGGTCCCTGTCATTCTGTTTATGTGTTATTTCTCTGTACTGAAATTCTGTAATTTTATTTTATAAAGAAACAATTTCTATCATAAGCTTAGCACATTAGCTTTGGTACACAATTATCCGGCTTAACAATCCAAAAGATTCATTACAAAGAAAGAACTCAAAAACCACTTAGCAATTCTAGAAAGAATAACATACAGGATCGGCATGGAAGAAACCATGTGAGAGAATCTGCTCCAAGTAAGATTCAACAGCATATCTCCCCAGCCTGGAAGATAAGAAAATGTTGAATTGATTTGAGTAGATACCAATATCAGTAATAAAGATGTGTACAGAAGTAAAAGGTAACATGCCAATAGTGATTTTGCATACAGAAAACCAGATTCTATTAACCTTTTGCGGTCAACACCCAGCTGATCTAAAGCTTGTATTTTATTTATTTTAATCCCTGGAACATACTCCATTGTCAGAATCTGCATTGAAAAAAATAGTTAAATTATGGATGAAGAATACTAACAGTGGTAAGAATATATATTTCTATAGGTTAAACCTGTGGGGTGGTATAATCCCAGTAAATTGAAGGAACTTTCACATAATCCATGTTCTTAAAGTTGCTTGCAAATAGCTCAGCATTAGCAGCTTCCTTGGTGTAATCAATCTCCTGAAAAATGTTATCCATGTTACGGGATCAGATAAAGTTGAGGTTGTTTAGAGAACACATGCAAACATCGTACTGGAACAAGAAAAACAATAAGCAACTCAAACCCGACCCCCACCCGCAACCTGCAACTATTGCTAAACGCCTATAAAAGTCTTTTAATTTATATATTGTCTAAGTTCTAACCGTTATAAAGTAATCACACCATTTGTGGTTTCAGATAAAATGAATGGCATGTGAAATAGAAATACTCAACAAGCGTGGTCATTTATGAAGCATTGTGTTTACACCTACACAACAACAATCCTAATCGTCCATTTTACGCCATGAGCTAGCAAGGTAAAATTGTAGGCCACCTAATTCCTTCTGTGAAAACAACTCAGCTATTCTTAGTTAACACTTTCTTGTTTGAATAAAAAGCCTCTTATTCAACATTCAGAAATCTTAAGTTCTGCACTATTAATTTGATGTAAAAAGCCTTCATGACCCAAAAGAAGTTCCTTGGTTTTCCCATATGCCTTTCCAAAGGAAGATCCAGCCTCTTGACACATTCCATTAACCTGAACTTAATCAAACTCTATTTAAGTAGCGCTCCTAGTCCTACATAACTTAATTGACCATAACAGATTATATCAATACGATGAAAACTTAGACATGTGATTTTCTTCAATTGATCTCAAGTAGATGAGTGAAGCAACTATCCAAAGCATCATCACCTGATATAAAACAGAAGCACACTCATCATAAATAGCAACCCAATCCCTCTTTGCACCATCTGATTTAGGATCAATTTTTTGAAGATATTCAGCAATAACCTGGAGAGACAAAAGAAGACTAATATATCAATGTTTACTGAAATTATGTAAGTCTTCAAAGTCTGGAAACCCTATTATTAAGCCTCCGTCATGCAATGGAAGAAATAGAAAAAGTTTACAATTTAGAAGACTTGTCAATTTTTCAGATAAATCAAGCAGAAGGTAATAAAATTATCCAACAGTAATGTTACAGATGCACAAAGCACCAAGTATAACACTGACCCTTAGGTTTTTAAGATCAATATCAAAAAGACCCTTCAGACCAGGCCTTTGAACCTTGATAACAACCTCCTGCCCCCTTAATTTCGCACGATGAACCTGACCTGCATTGGGAAAAGATAATTCATATTTCCTTTCTTCCAGGCAAACATTACACCTAAAACATAGGTACATTTAACTAGGTTTCCTGCTTTGATTATACAATTTCTATTACAAATACATGAAAAATAAAACATTGATTACCAAGACTTGCAGCAGCTATTGGCTCATAGTCAAACTGATCAAATATGCCAGCTATAGGAGCTCCAAGCTCTTCCTCAACAATAGCCATAGCAGTCTCCGAGGGAAATGGAGGAACTTGATCCTAAACCCAAAAAAATAGGTAATTAAAAACCTAGGGAAATACAACCTTAATATGGTTTTCTCTTCTTGATTAAACCTTTTTAGTTTTTCCATGGTCAATATAATTTTGTCATTACTTTCTAAATTCAGTGATACATTCTCAAACAGATTAACTTATCAAACAACACCAACTGCTTCCGAATTAAATATGCAACATTTACAACTCAAGAATACAGGGATAACAATGGCCCCACCAATCCTTTCCGAAGGAAAATTTGCCTCTCATGTAATTAATTTCAACATAATAATGTATCAATAAAATTGAAATGATATGAAATGTCACAGATTTATTAGAAAATATAGGGATTTAATGACAAAAATAGTTCAAAAAATTCACATGAAAAGCCTCAGGAATAAATATCCTCTTGGAGATCATGACTGCAAGTAATGAAATAAGACAAAATGACTAATAAAATGTCAAACAACAAATAAAGAAATAAATAAAAATTCAAAATCTAAAAAAATTTCCCATTTTTCTTATGAAACCATAAATACTATTAATACAAATTGGATACATCCGAAGCAAGTGTATAATATCTCAATTCCAGGAAATTATCTTATAAATACTGTACAGAGCTCCAACTTAACCTGAAGTTCCGACAACTGGTCAACATATTCTTGAGGGAGAATGTCGACTCTTGTGGAGAATTGCTGACCAATTTTGATAAATGTAGGACCTAACCGGAGAATGCTTTCTTTCAGCCATTTGGCAAGAGTCTTTCGCCTTAAGGTTTTCTTTTCCTCGGTCATTCCTCCTACAAATAATACATTTGAGTCAAATAACAAAAACAGTCACAACACTGAGAATTCAAACTTCAGTAAAGCACATTAAATGTTGATTTTATAAATAAACAAAATTGATGTTTAGTCAAAATTCAATGAATAAACCTGACTCCCCAAGAGTTCCCAAAATTCTCAGCAGATTCATAAACAACTCACCTACAAGCTTGTAGATATTTTACCAACAAGCAAAATGGAAATGCTTCTAAAAAATTGAGATGCATAAACTAATTCCAACTCATACAATCTAAGATAATCTACTGATGATAAACAAGAAACCTTTATAAGAGAACTTCTGACGATCCAACCAAGACTTGAAGACAAAAGCAATAACAAATCCCCAAATTTCCAATGTTCTCTGTATCGTCGAGTATGTCTTGAACCTGCTCCAACGACCACCAGGCGCAACCGCCACCTGCAAAAACAAAAACAAAACAAAATCACAAGTTGATCTCACTCATTCAACCTAGCATAAAATTCGTCTTCTCTCTTTTTCAAAATCAATACATCAAACATCTTCGCAAAATGCCACAACCACGTATACATACCTCAACTTGTGCTTCACCGTTTCGTTTGAACCACGCGTCTTCTTTTCCAATCTCCTCCAACCTCTTCTTCCTCCCAACTTCCTTCCGCTTCGAGGTTTCAACAAAATCTTCAACAACTTCCGCCGCCACACCATTTCCATTCACGTATTTCACTAAGCTTCCCTTTTCACTACCGTTAACGTAACCTCTAACGGAACCGTTTTTACCGTTTACAATACTCGTTGCAGCTCCGTTTCTACTCCACTTCACATCGCTCACTCTTTCTTCGATCAATGCACTTTCTTCCTTGACAGCGCGAATTCGAGTAACATTGAATTTGTACTTTGAAACGGAATGTATAGAGCGGAGTGTAGTGAGAGAACGACGACGTTTTGGTGTGATTTGTGGAGTGAGAAAATTGAGTTCGGTTAAGAGTAGAGAAGATGAAGCCATTGATAGGAGAGAGGATCAAACTCGAACCCTGGTTTTCATGGAAGGAAAGTGTGAGAAAGTGTGGTAGCGGAGAAAGAAGAGTTAGTTGAAGTTGAAGACAATAGAAAGAACAAAAGTGGAGAGATGAAAGAGGAATGTGACACGTGGCAAGTTAAAGATGAGTTATGAAGGTTTTAGAGGGTTTTGATTGGTGTGTAGATTTCGCGGGTTGTGTAAGCCACAAAATGAGTTGCTTTGTATTGCGTGGTAGCTTTATTGTGTTGTGAGGCAATTCATGACTATCAATGTAACTACAAGAAACTACAAAATATATGGATCAAAAATAACTTTCAATTTCAAATAGAAATTTTAGAAATTATATACGATCGTTCTTTTGAAAATGGGATAGAATAAAAAATTCCCTTTGTTTTAACAGCTAGCAATCCAAGATAGTACATTTTTAATTTTAGGAACTTGTATTTTATTATCATTGTTATCAAAACTCTTCAAGGATTATACAACTATGTTGAGAAAATTTGGACAATGTGTTTCAACTTAGCGTGTGTTTTGAAAATGAGATTAAGTTAAAATGGTAAACGCTTACAAATATAAATGGTTAAGAGTATGATTATCGGTGTTCTTTGAGAGTTCCTACACATTTATTAAAGAAATTGTGTCAATAATAAATGGATATTTCACTTGTTTTCACGTTCCTGAACCAAAGCACGTCCTTATACTAAAGCACGCTTCTTAAATTTTATTTGGTCTTTTTATTCATTTTTTTCTCAAAAATTGTTAAGAAAAGATGGGTTATGGGGTATATTGTGGGGTTTAGTGGAACCTATTTTAAAGTTTTTAATAAATTATATAAATAAAATTGCAAGAATGTAGTTAATTTGTTTTAAATGTGGGACCCATTTTAGATTTTTTGATAAGTTACATGGATATTTGAGAATTGTAGATGGGTTGTTTAAAAAATTGAGAAGTGTGAAATAATATAAAAAATTATGTGGGTCCCATTTAAAGAATCCAAATGGGTATGATGGATGTGGATGCTCTCATTGGATTAAAAAAATGAGGTGAAATATAGATTTTTTTTATTAAAAAAAAGGGAGATAATTAACCATAAATAATTAAAATCAATTATTGACTCATCAAACCATATTCCTTTTACCTTTCAAAACATCTTCATATCTTGAAGAATCTCATCCAACATGTCAGAACCATTAATCAACCACCTTACAGACTTGATCATGTTTTCAAGTTTGGAGGAAAATAAAGTCACGTCATTCTACAGGTTAAAGATAGAAGACAAACATTCTTTCTTTTCAGCCTATAGTTGATAAATAATTACCTTTTATTTTTCTCCCTGTTGATGGACTTCTTTACTTTTGATGCATAGTTCTTTGTAAGAAGCACCCTGCTCATCATAAGTTATTTCTTCATTAAGGAAATTTATATCAGAAGCTCACCTTCCAGTTAAAATAGTAATAGGCTTGACTAATTCATCACCAGGAACACTTTCTTCATTAGACCAAGGAATAGAAAACCACTTAAGTTGTTTCTTGAGAAAGGTAGGGCATATGTCCAAATTCTTCAAACTCATGACACAAAATGCCTTTACTTTGATTGACATTTTCATTTATTCCAACTTTTCTTTGAGGAACATAGTTCTTACTGATGTTCTTGAGATTTGACCTTGAACTTCTATCCATTTTCCTCTGAGCCTGGTTGAATTTCCTCTCAAGGAACATAATAGCGTTGAATAACCCTTCATCAAAAATCAGGTTATAAGCTCCTACAGAGTTGGAGACAAAAGGTGTGCTCTTATTCTAATATTCATATCTGTCATTTTTAAAGCCATCTTAAGGATTTGAAGTGACCCAAAAGGTTTATCAATATTGTTGATGTCTTGATCTTCTTCAATGGTTGCCCCTTTCATGTCAAATCTCTTGGGTAGAGACCTCAGAATCTTCCTGGCCAGATTGGTCTTGAGAAATACCCAAGCATCTTTGGCCACAACACATGTGTTTAACAGTCTGAACATATTTTTATCAACTCCATTAAATATAGAATTCAAAGCTTTAGAGTTAACAAGAGTCGGCGCATACTCTTTCCTTCTATATCCTTAGCACCAAGATTCTCCCATCATGGCAAATTTCCAAGTTCGGTTGTCCATTGATTTCAATAATTCTATCATTATATCCTTCCAAAAGACAAATAGTACTAGAAAAATTATCCCTAGAGCTCACCCAATAAAGAGAACAATGTGTTTGCTCTTATGCCAATTGAAATTCTGGTACTTTAAGACATGTCAATACTGATGTCCCAACATCAGAACACAATGTCAAGATAGATGTTACGACATCTGTCGACTGATAGAACAATTATATCAAACTATAAATAATGCAAAAATAAATGGAAGAATGATAAAGAAAACGGCCAATTGTTAACCCAGTTCGATGTAACTCACCTACTTTAGAGGCACCCAAACCATGAAGGAAATTCATTATGATATTATTAGTTCAAAGCTAAACAACTCTAGTTTACAACTTATCACTAATAACTATCTTGTGAAACTTCTACCTAGAAACCTTCTAGATATGAGACCCCCTTCTCACTTCCTACAATCACTTTAGTAATAAAATCAGTCACAAACCAGTGACAAGAACCAAAACAGAAGAACACACTTCCAATTACAATACTTAGTTTTGCTAAAAAGCTTTCAACTAAGAACAATAACTTGACATGCAATCAACTTTTTTGCTTAAAAGCTCATGAGGGATGGGAAAGTAACAATAAACAATCAGTCTACCTCAATGTATCAAAAGATACACAGGTGACACACAAACAAACAGGGTAATATGACTCTCAAACCTAAGGCTCTAAGCTTCCCTTTTTTTAAATTGTGAAAATCCAAATTGCATTAGGTTTAGGTTTCTCTTTATATACTCCTCAACAGTTCATGGCTTCAAAATATTCACCCGAATATTTCTTGATCCACAAGATGAGGGTTTCACCAATTATGCAGAAAAATATCCCTGAATCTTGGAACAAATCATCATAAGTTTCCTAAATTGTCTCAATATCTAATTTTAAAAACTTATGTACAGTTGAAGATCAAATCAATTGTTCCAAATTAAATCTTCTTGACCTGCACAAATAGGTGTGATATATCTAAAAGGAATCTCACAAAATCAAATCAAATATGTCAAGAATAATAACAGCATGTACAGATATTCTGGTACATCATATCACAACATCTGCCAGAATATTTGTCTTTAATGTAGACTGATCAACATGTTAGGATATCTCACACAACATCTTGTTGTGAACCATGTTTTAGCAAAATTGTTGTCAATCCTAAAACCATATATATAATAATATCAACTAATTAAAAAAAATAAAATGAAAATTCTAGATATTACAAATGGATGGATACGCTCTGAAAAATAAATAATTAAACAATGGAAATATTTGGGCACAAATCTCGTTTGCTTAGAAATCCGGAGGTTGAGTACAAGCAGTGGTGTCCCTATTCTTCATAAATCATCACTCAACTCGTGTACTTCAATCTCGATCATTTTATTCACTTTTTTGTGACTATGGTAAGGTAGTAACTCAAGTGAAAAAGAAACAGGCACAAGCAAATTCATTAATCAGGGTGAGCGAAATATTACAGAATTTGGGGCATAGCAATTTTTAGTAGATCCCCATCTTTATGATCGTGATCACAATATTTCATGAATCATATCATGATACTCTTGACAAGATTTCGTGATCCTCATCACAAAAACAAAATTGAAACATGCCGTGAAATTTCAAGCCATTAGAAGATTCATGCAAAGGTGTGAATCAAATCACACAAACAGAATTGAAACATGAGAAGAATTTTCAAGTCATAAATCATTTCATGTAACAGTGTGAATCAGATAACAAAAACAAGGACCACATAAAAGTGTAAAAAAAGATTTATTTGAATCAATTCAAAAGATCCCTTGAATTGATTCATGCAAACATAAAATTTTGATTATATTCAAAACAAGAATTAAAGTGATATTATACATGAGCAATTTCACACCAATCTAAACAAAAAGAATTGTTTCACACTCGATATAGTCTATTTGTATAAGACAGGGGATTACAACAAGTGAACCTTACAACTATTAACAACCAAGTCAAGTTATTGGAGAAAGGTATCACTATTAAAAGGTCAAGTGACCCATGATCTACTACTTATATAATGTTCTAACTTGAGGATCGAGTTATTGTTAGAACTTTACAAAATGGGTTGTGTTCGCACCCATCCTCTTACTTCAAGACCACTAAAACAAAGCACGGCCTAACTTTGTCTACCATGGTTTTGGGCCTATTGTTCTGGTCAAGGTAAAGGTACAACCCACTTGATTTCAATAACAAACAACACCTAGTAGTGGACCATCTACACTGACAATCAAATTCATCTAATGGCTTATGTTAAAATATGCCTTAAAACTTTAAGTTATAAAGAGAAGAAAAATGACATATTTCGGTATTGACATATTTTCAAGCTTGTTCGTGAACCCGCTTGTTAATGGGTTGTGTTTTGGGTCTTGTTATGAATATGTTGGGTTTTAGCAATTATTAATATGTATCTCTTCTATTATTTGCAGTGTGACACTTGGGTAGAAAATAAGATTTATTATTGAGAGCTTGTAAGGCTATTTTCTTTTAACTCATTTGTAATATCTTTTAACAACTTTTGAAGTATAGTGAACTGGGTAAACAAAGCTTTTGTGTTTCTCGCCTTATTTCATCTTTTTCCGCTAAGTTCGCTATTTATTGGTTATTAGTGTTGAAGGCCATTCATTTTGGTCTGGTTTTTGTCCCCACACATCAATTTCTTTGATGAGAATTGAACATTATCATTTTCACAATAAGTGGCACCCACCATGGAGCAAAGGGGTGTCATTTGCAAAAGTGAGCGCCATGGCTAAATGGGAGATCACAAAAAATTTCGAAGATAATAAGTTTAAGTTGTG